TTTGGCTTGTCCAAACAAACTCATTGATTTGATTCGATGCAAACATGACAAGAAGCAACATTTATGCTATAAGAACTAGTGGGGCCTTTCAAGGAAGGTTTTCTCCACAAGGACTAGTCATAATATTAATATTATTTTAAGAGGAACAAACACATGAAAAGTTTTCAAAAAAAAAAAAAGAGGATTGGTGTGAAGAGATTTAAATAAAAAAAAAAAAAGAATAAACAAGTTCTTAGTTAATTCATTGTGATGTGTTCTAATTTTAATATACGGAAAAAAATCTGTTATATGTTTGATAGTCCTAATAAACACATTTTTCGAATAAAACAAAACTAGAGCAAATTGGAGACCACTTAAGGTTCTATACTAGGGGCCTTCAACTACTAAGTGTATTACATGAACTTACAAAAAAGTGTATACTTGTAACCATTTTGTTAATTGCACCCTCAACCTTAATAGACTTTGCTATGGAGTTTCAATCACTTTCTTCATATAAGCATGCCTAGCGGTTGCAAGAACTCCTATTCTAGTGCTTGAGCACCACAATTCAACTATCAAATTTTGATACAGTAGCACTTGTGACTCCCTCTTCCACCTCAATTCGAAAGTGAATCTCACTAGATACAATTAGCTCTAAACTAAAGAAACAGTAGATCTACCACCATTCACAATTTTTCAACCAAATCATGTGAATCTTGAGCACTGTTTAATAATTCAATTCAGTGTTTAAATTTAATGGGTTCAGATCTTAACATGTTCAGACATATATTGATGACAAAAAAAGAACATTTGATTTAATTAAGTGGCACTGAAATTTCTATGTAAATCTTGTTCCAACATAAGTAATAAACTATTCACTTATCACTTAATGTGATATACACTCAAATATATCAGATTTAGTATTTAACAATTCAATAACTTGACATATTCAGATTTTAGATTTCAGATTTCAATTATATCAAACGCATCCTTGGACTAGAATTTTCTTCAAAACAAGGAAAATTCATATCAATAGTATCAAAATTCTCCAAAGTTTTTGCACTTCCTCTATTGCTTCTAACTATTTCAAGTTTTTGCACTTCCTTAATTGTTTCTCACTATTTCAAGGCACAATTGACATCAAATTCTCCAATATCTACTAATGAGCTCCTCATGTCATAAGGCTTCCATGTGCATGATTAACTAAAAATTTATGTTGAGTCAAGAACCCCAACTTAGGGCTTTTCCTTTTTAACATGCTAAAATAAACCCGTGATTTTTTATTATCAACCTTGATGTTTGAAATTGACAAAATGTCTAGAAATACAAACTTTTTTATGAGTTTGCTTATTAGAGACACGTTTAGGTCTCAAATGGCTGTAGAATATCCTTTTCTCAACAATGCTCACGTAGTGAGAGACAACACAATTTTGACACCTTAAGTTTTGGTTTTTTTCCTCCTCAAATTATGACCTTGCCTCTTTTTGTGCCTTGGCACAATATTCATTTGGTAGTTGGAATGAGATGAACTAACCAGCACAAAATGTACTAAGTAGCTACGCTTACTGCCAAATTATCTGCAAGGCATTAAATTTACACATTATTTTTTTTTTTGCAATACTTATGGTATACAATTATCTTGAAATGCATTATTCATGAATCCTGAAGATATATATGTCCTGCAATTGTTTATATTTGAGCCTACCTATTAAAATTTAATCTTGTATTGTTAATGATGTTGTTGCCCAAGGAAGCCTTTGATGGAGTGGTTGACTATGCATTTGACTTAGTCCTTGTTCATTCTTTTCTTACAACTTGGCATATCAGATTTCTTTGACAGCATTGGATTATGTCACGGTGATGAGCATGATGAAGGTTGTAGTGCAGTTGCACTTGCTAATCTTTTGACATTTGGAGTATACTTGAACCATGACTAAGTTGTAGACTTCCAATTATGAAGCTACCTTAGCTGGAAAGGTCTTCATATGGTATTTGTTATTGCTTCAAAGCTTCTTGAATGCAAAATATCAGTATCATCATTAATTAAACCGTAAAGGTCATCAGAACTTTTCTCAAACTATCTATAAGTTACAACTAACGTTTTTATTTGATGAAGTTGAGCTGTCCAATCATTTTGATACAATATTGTAATGGGAGAGATCTACGAGGATTTCACCAACATGTAGTGAACATCTTCATATACATTTATGCTTGGATAATCTGTAGGATCTGTTATCCCTAGATGATTTTCCCTTGCATTTGAAGATATAATAATGGTCAAATTCAAATTTTTTAGTTTTGACTTAACTAATGAGATACTTTTAGTATCATCAATTATTAAAAATCTTTTGATGTTAACAGTCTACAAGTCGCTGAAACCAAATCAGCTTATTGGATTAACTTCTTTCATACTCTTCAAGCAAAATCGGGATACAAAGAAGGGGAAAGAGGAAGGGGGAAAGCACAAATACGCTAATTTTATGCACTTGGTATGGGGTACAAAAATGCATTAACCAATACTCTTGTGATGGTTAAATTAAATGTTTTTCCTTAGAATATTTAAGATAAATACCCTTATGATAGTTAAATTAAATGTTTTCCCCTAAAATATTTAAGGATTTTTGGTTGAAATTCTAGTTTGTTTCCTAGAATGTTCAGATTTTTTTCATGTCCGAGAGCCAACTTAGTTTGGATCTGATAATCTCTAAATGAAGATTTAGTATTTCTTTTTCCCTTCTTAGCCAAAGTATTAAATTTGAAGTTCACACAAGTAGCAGCACGAAGCTTAAGATGAACCATAGAACACAACTTCTGCTGGGACTAAAGTATTATCCGTTAACTTGTATAAAACTAAGTTGTAACATCATTGTTGACTAACATTGTAATAATTATTGAATCTCTAAGATTGGAAATTGTGCGTGTAGCTTCTCAAATGGACTAAATGGAAGTTGAGCTTTCGTAAATAAATAAATTAAAAAAAACACACACACACACACACACATTTTATGTTAGGAAATGTAGTCAGTTCAAGTTTTGATTGCATATGAATAAGTTAAAATTCATTATAACACACCCTATTTTTTATTTCAAAAACCTTAATTTGATTGAAACCTTTCTAAAGCAAACCAAATACATGATATTCATTTACAAAATGGCTAAACCGAATTATAAAAAAATCCTCTAGACATCAATGAAGATCACAAAAATCAAAATTTAAAGAGATTACCAACTTTTCGCAGAGTCTAATTAACCTCAAGTAAAGTAATAAGGCTAGTGTATGAAACTTGAGGTCAAAGGTTAAACATAATATGTGTGTCTTGTTATGGTATTATAGATACATTGGTAAATACTAATCTACTGGTATTCTCTTCCTGGTCCTTATGAGAAAGAAAGAGAAGTGTAGTATGTAAAGAAACTTAGTTTAGGACAATAACTATTGGATGTGTTATCACGAGATGTAAGAAGGATGAAGTGAAAAACAATGATAACTCAATTTAATGGGGTACTAGGATAAGAACAAGGAGAAAAATCCACAAGATTAGGAGTATGCTTAGGCAAATGATACAGAGTGAAAATCAAAATTCTCTTTTTGTTGCTTCGCTTGTGGGTATTGATGATAATCAGCTAAATGACATCAAAATTTGATAATACAAAATATTAGGCCTTGAGCTCCTTTGGGGAGTCTGAAGATTTTCTAATAGTGTAATTTGAGCTTTTTGACCCTGCAAAATCAGATTTCATCAACACCAACCTATCCCATCATTTTTATCTATCTACAAGATCTTCTTTTGCTTGACTAAATTCCGTAGAGTTTTCTTATTTCCATCTTGGATATGCTGATACCGTTTTATCTTGAATCTGTCATTTAATGTTACACACATCTTCTCATATTTCATCCATTTTGCAAACTTCTAACAAATTGCATTGGCAAAATAGTAATATTATGGGTTCCTAGTTTGTAGAGAGCAAAGAGAAAATCCCTAATGGGGACAGTAGCCTAATAGGGGAATATGCAGAAGAAAGCTGGGCAGCTTGCCTTTTGACTTCAAAAAGATAATCCAGAAGTCAGGAGTAGGATAAGCAAGACAGATGTTGAGGACATTGGGGTATTGGTTAGGCATAACTGTAGAATAAAATAACTTCCTACTTTGGGTTTATGTTTAGTTGATGTGTTTAAATGGAATTGCCTCTTTTAGCTGAGTTAGACATAACTGTATGCAAGGTTTTTGTTGGTCATTCCTCACTAACCAATCTTTATCAGAAATCCAGATCATCATCCTTCATAAGCTTCTGCCAACATCAAAATACTGTATTTTTTTGCATACTTAAATATTCCTCTCCAAAGGTTCTTTTGAGCTAGCATATACCTAATAAGACTAAACTTCCTTAGCTTGCTTGGTCTGTAGCGCTCCTGAATAGGGCTATCTAATTGTCTTTGAAATAGAAGCTCAAGGGAAGACAAAATCTTCAAATGTAGGAACTCTTTGGGTTAGCTACTCTAGTAGAAAAGCTATATGCACAACAATGTCTTATTTCTTGCGAATGTAGTAAGACAAATAACTGTCCTTTCTCCTGCATCAAACTCAAGACAAATGCTATATTGAGTACATATTCTTAAAAAATAAGTAGTGAATACTAAAATGTTAGTTTGGATGACCTACATGATTCCAATATAAATAAATAACACATTGACGTTTTAAGATTAGGTACAATAAACAACTCCATGTTAAGCCGTGGATATCTGTTTACTAAAGATTGTGCCGATGGAGTACTTGTTGCCTTCTACAAAAGATATAATTTGCATATTGGAATAGGTCACTTGGAGAAGCACAGTTATTTTTCCCAACATAGAGCATTACTAAACAGCATTTCTCTATAAATGAGGGACTAGGCTTCAGTCACTTGCTATTGTACCTCGGTCATGTATCTTCGTTGTCTTTGGAGCAGAAACAGCTACTCATATAAACTCATATACACTCTTAACACTTCAATTACTATATCTAAGTTGCTGTTATTTTCAGTTTGGCCAAGATCCTACAACGATATCGCAACTACGCAGAAGCAGAAGACGGGTCTGCAAGAATTAGCGGCGTAGAGGTAAGTTTGTGATGTGCTTTATGGAGCTTAAAATACTTGCAGCATAATGTTGGCTTGTTTTGGACCTGTCAACCACTGGTGCAGGGTAACAGTAAGTTTGTAGCTTATTGAGGTTAGAGCAAGTAAAAGGAGTTATTGGAAGTGATGAAATGATGACATCTTAGCATTCGACTACTTGGATTTAGCATTGAACCGCTTATGGCTCATATGTCACTATCTAAAACAGCATTGAACTGCTTATAGAGCATGTTTCACTATCTAAATCTCCTAATAACATTGGAGAAGAAATTACAAGCACTAAACATACATTGCAGTTATCTCAGTTATTACCTACAATTGTAGGACAGATAAGCTGTAAGGATTTGTTTCACTCAACCGCCCACTAAATCACTAATGTCAATCAGGAGTCTAAGTATTTGCCAAGCTTAAGTGTGGTTTTTAGCATAATGTTTTGGAATGTAGAAGCCTCCGGATCATATGCTGATTGCTTTATATAATTCCATCTTTGTGTTACCAAATAGTCTAGTTTCTGCTTGGGTGGACATATTTTTATGCTAGTTGATTTACTAGTATTTCCATTTCTGTTTCAGAAACGTAACCCTGAAGGCAGAAATGTCGTGACAATCAGAAAGCTGCTGGAAAAAGTTGAAAGGCACTGACATAATACCTCATCTCCTTCGACAACTATAGAATCTAATGTTGTCTCTGTTTTCCAACAGGGATCTAGAGGAGCCAGATGTTGACCACCTTAACCTGAGTGAACTAGTGCAATTGGAAGAACAACTTGAAGATGCACTCATTCAAACAAGATCTAGGAAGGTATGTTTTTCTCCAGTTTTCTCAAAATAGGTGTAACTGTGTAAGCTATGTGTTGAAAGAACTCGTGCAAATCTGCAATCTGACAGTAGAGAGAATAATTCTTTGTATTGGTGTTGCCACTTCGACTGTCAGATATTTTCAGTAAAAGGATTTCATATCTGTGTTTCCACTTCCACTGTTACATAGTTTCAGTAAAAGGATTTCATAGATCCGTGTCTCTAATTTTTATGATTAGTTAACATGGCTACTTTGTATAATTGTATTTAGCACATTGAAGTATTTCGAGATTAAGCCTGCATAACTAGAAAAAGTCACTATGAGATGTGGTAATTACTATCTTTGACTTTAATAGCAGAAAGATTTCTTCTTTGACTTTTAGTAGAATAAAGGTGTCTTGGGACATCCTTATCCTTAAAAAGGTAAATGACCAAATAAGAAATAAAAGGTTCTTCGCATCATAGTAAAATAATGTACTTTGTTCCATATTTGTTGTGACACTAATGATAGTTATGGCGCGAAAAGAGCTAGAATGACAGCTACATCAAGGTTAATATTCCTAAACTGGTTTACTAGACATGCTAATGTGTAGATGGTTGGACAAGTGTGGGTTGATGAGAGTTATAAGGTTATTGTTGTTTCCAAAAATTAGGCCCACAAAGCAATTTTCTCTATCTGGGTACAGTACCATGTCTTGCATCTTTCCTGAGATCAGTAGATTGGAATCTTCGAGTGCATGAATTGTTAATCAGCTTGCCTCTATCTTTACTGTACAATTAACAAACTAGTTATCTAAAATGAGATCAGACTTTTGAATATAATGGTGTAACTATAACATACATGAGAAGCAGACAAACAACTAACAGAGAGCGGGAAAAAGAAAGAGGCCCAGAAAAGTAAGATGGTGAAAGTTCTGCAAGAGGATGAATAAGCCATGTATCATTTGGGAGGAGACTGACAAATTTTCAATGTTCCTCCCCTATTCAAGCACACTTCTGTTGATTCCGTAACTCTCATCTTTTGTTTCTTAACAACTTCTGGTTTTCATGATTTCGGGTTTCTTATTACTTTACCTCATGTGATATTTTCGTGCAGACACGATTACTGATGGAATCAATAACCAGTCTAAGTGAAGTGGTATGTCAAAGCAATCTGCAGCCTTACACTTTTTTAGAAACATTTTTCCTATTTCCATTTTTACTACTGAAATTTGTGTATGAAGAATATATGCCCTCAAAAGTAGATAGCATATTCTCAATCCTCATCAAATTCTATGAAACGAGAAAGATTATCTTTCTCCGATACAGTTATATGTCAATCAACATCATGTCAAGGAAAATTTTCCACTGGGCTGGATCTGCGGTTGATATTATATTTATAGTGTATTTAGATATAGAGGTTCCTAACAGATATATCTGCTACGCATCTTCTGATGTATGATTAGACTTAGAAATAAAGTTCTTGCAACACTGAAATTCTTCTCTACAACTATATATAGTACTAGCATTTGAATGTTCTGTGGACTTGCAACAATAACTATATAAGTAGCTTGAATCAATTTATCCATTATAGCCTAGTTTCATCACAACGGAATTTGTGGAGGACTCAAGGACACAGACAGTTGACTGCAATTATAATAGCATATTAAAAATCAGTCAACCTACTTACCTCCACATCTCTACCTGCAGGAAAAGATGCTGAGGGAAGAAAACAAGCTTCTGCAAAATAAGGTAACAGATTTTCTTGTTAAAACTATAAAGAAATGGCTCTTATAGACATTTACTCATGACTTTATTTGCAAATTGCAAACAACTTACAGGTAGCTGCAGGTACATCCAATGAGAAGAGGAATGACTTGATCCTTGAATTTGGGGACCTTACACACGTTGGAATGATTTCTGGGCAGCGACAGGCTATGCTTGAACTACTTTAAGAGTAGAAGATAGTGAGACAAGCCAGTTTGTGCCTTTCTGAGTGCTCCAAGGGAAAATATACCCGTTAAGGCAATGTGATCCTACTATACAACTCTTCATAAGCAACTTTTTATAACTTGGTTTTGCGTCTGACATCACTCCGCTTCATAACATGAGATTGAAGTGGGGTACGTTCTCCACTTGCATTGTTCTGTCACATGCTAACCCAGGTTTCTGATTAAGCAAAAGAGAATGAATCTTAAAGCAAAGCAGGTTGCCTGCAAGTTGGTCATTGGTGAGTATTCTAACTAAAAAATACTTAAAACTGCTTGTACCACCTCAATGGCATACAGACAAATTTGGTAATGTAATTACATTGCCAGTACGTTCTTGCACAACACTATGCTCAGTATCAGACTATCACTAACAAGTGACGACTCCCAATACAAGGAACGAAGCTGGTTATTGAGAAACCAGTTCTAGCAGAAGGTAAAAGGAAATGGGGTGACCATTTCTTTTTCTAATCGTTTTTCTAATTTGTTATGGCAGCATTGTCCATACGAGACAATTGTAATGTGCTTGCCCTGCTACTCAAGTGCAGCCTAATAAATAATATACACATAAGTACTCTTGCGGTCTTTTGAACTGAGTTCAGTCGAGGAAGGACTGAAGAAGATAGAAGTATTGGGTTCTGTTGAAAGGACCAAGCAAGCTGGAAACCGGCTTTAACCGAACCACAACCCCCCCCCCCCAACACAAGGAAAAAAAACCCAAAAAATATATATATACATATATATATATTTCATGCATCAGGAGTTATGGGAATGGGAGAGTGATCATATCAGAAAAAGAATGGAATTCATAATGGTTTAGGATGGAGGAACATGGGATGCTAGACAGGAAACTAAATCATTGGAGGGACCGATCTTCATAATTTCGGTGGACCATGTAATGCCAGCTATGCAATTCGAACCTCAGAAAACATATTCAGTTATGTGGTACAACAGGAATCAGAGGTAAACGTCCCAGAAAGGAAAGAATCTGAATCATATGCAGGTTATATGAGCTGTGGAACAACGAAGAACATATATCTTGAGATTTAGCAAATCATTGACACAAAGGAGACACTCTGATTTGGCGAAAAGACAGGAAGAAAAGGAAAGACTAAAATATGGTGCATGGTGAATTTGGTTGATGACCGTGACTAGGGCCACTTCGGCCGAGCCAGGTACTTGAGCCTCTTCAAGTCGAATCCGGAAACGGAAGACTTGAGAATAGGCAGCGTAGCCATTCTATGGCAACAGAGGATTTGCAACTTAATGCCACGGACACTAACAAAATGAGGGCTTTGTTTTTTTGGTTGGTGTTTTTGGGGGGAGGGGGGGGGGGGGGGGTTTGGCATGCTTGAAAGAAAATTTGTATGAGCAAGAATGCTGACAAAGTCGTAAAATCATATTTATTCTTAGCCAACAAAAGGAAAAAAATAATAACGATCATTATCTTGCTTCTCCCTATATCTTGCATTGTCGAGCATCGTTCCTTACTCCGCCTCACCGCTGGGGATGGCCACAGAGGCAACAAGAGGAAGCGGCGACCACCCGGCAAATATATAACCTTGCAAGTATCTTAAAAGAATTGAAATCAGAAGTGTATCATCCAAGGTTGGTAGAAAAGTTAAAAAAAAAAAAAAAAGAAGAAGTCTATGCAGTGTATATACTTGCGTTTTTTTTTTTTGGATGGGATTATAATGCTACAACATTAGCGAAAATACAGAAATGGATGAAAATTCACGCAGAAAAAAAAGGCAAAAAAAGGAAAAGGAGTAGGAATGGAAAATACTACGTTAGACGCATACATGAAGCCGATCGGCAGCGTCCAAATAAAGGATAGAGTCGGTTACAAATGGCGGCAGTGGAACAAACTTACAGCTTTTAAATTATAATAAATATACGGATAGAGAGAGGTTGGATGTTCCACAGCGCTCCGGCCGCCCATTGCCATTTGACTGCAGAAAGATAGGAAGCAGCCATTGGCCGGTAAAACCGGTTGCCTTTGCCTCTCGACTCCATTGATCATTGATGCTTTATTGTTCCATAGACTTGGTGGTGGCGCGCCACATTTACGCTTTTCTTTGGACTAGTAGTTTATAGCAGCGCTGCTAGTTTATAATACGAGGAGCCTGCCTAAAGCCGTGGATTGAGTTTGACCTCGAGCATTAGAAAAACTAACTTTAAAAATAAATAATATTCATAGTAGCAGTGTACAAGGGACTATAATCAAGAAAGAGAGGACGGATATAGGTGTAATGTGCTTGCTGGGCAGTGGACATTGGACAACGTAGCACAGAGTCACCTTTCAAACTTTTTTGGAGGCCAAAAAGAGTTAGTGAGTGTTTAACCCTCAGCTTTTTCTCGTGAGTGTGTTTACCCGTACCCTTTACTGCAATTTTTTTTAGGTTTTAGGTGTTGGGAAATGAAAGAAGTGACGTATAGATCAGAAGGCGCACCAGCCGGCTCGTTTTCCTTTTTCTTTTTCTTTTTCTTTTTTTTTTTGGGTGTTATCAAAAGTTTAAGGCTCCATTTTCATTTTTTAAAAAACATGTTTCTCATATATAATGTTATACCAATATGCAATCAAAAATAACTTTAATAATATGTCTATACAATATATATAAAAAACAACTCTAAATATATAAAAAATAAAATTTACACTATTTTCTTCTTCCGTCTATCACTGTCACTCACCACCGCCATCCCTATTCACCATCGCTAGGGGTGTTTCGCGAATCGAGCCGCTCGCGAGTCGATCGCGAGCGGCTCGAATACGAGCTCGACTCGAATCCGTCAATATCGAGCTCGAATCGAGTTCGAGCTAATTAAGTCGATCTCGAGCTCGAGCTCGAGTTCAAAAACATTAAACTCGTTGGCTCGCGAGCTCAATTATATATTTATTTTTTATTTTTTATTTTAATAGTAAAATTACATATATATCCCTAATATTTTATTATTTGTTAAAAAAATTATTGTTTTATTCATTTTTTTTAAAAAAAATATTTTTTATTTTTTAAAAATAAAATAATAAATTTTTTTTTTTTATTTTTTAAGCTCGAGCTCAAGCTTGATATTTTGAACTCGTCGACCTCGAGCTCGAGTTCGAATTTCACAAAATTAACTCGAGCTCGACTCGATTAGCCAAAGCTCGACTCGAGTTCGCCTCGTTTGCATCCCTAACCATCGCCACCATCCCCTCTTTTCTCCTATTTCCTTTCCCTCACTCTTCCTCCTCCCCTCCTACCTTCCCCTCCTCTTTCTCACCACGTCCCACCCCTCTACTTCCTTCCCAAATCTAGCCTCGACCATAGACTATGATTTGGCCTAGATGTCGTGATCAGAGATCTCGATCTGATCTCAACCAGATTCTGGAGGAGAAAGGAGCTGTGAGGAATGGCGGGGAAAGGGAAGAAAAAATGGGATGAGGAGGAAGAAATGAGGGGATAGTAGTGGTAATTTTTAAAAAAAATCACAAAATTTGTAAGTTTTAAAAATATTTCAAAAGCACATCAAAAAATATCATAAAAATATTTATGTTAAAAAGTTTTTTATATGTATTATTACAGTAAAATAGTTCAAAAATATCAAAAAAAAATAGTTAATTCAAATGAATCCTAAATCATTTGGAGTTCGGTAATAATTGCGGGTCAAGTCAAGTCATGTCCCCAACTTACACAGACACATACTTAGAGATTATTTTTCTGATGGAAAACTTTTACGCTTTTAATTATTTTTATTTTATATATGCCAAATTAATATAATATATTTTTCTACAGAAATTCTTAAAAATAGCATTCCAAACGATAATTCTTACCCGACTGACTGTCCACAAACAAGCAAAGAGAGAGGGACAGGTGGCATCTGTATCCGGTACCCTGCACGAGAGTAATCAACCCCCCTGCTTTTGTTTGTGCTTGTGATTGGCTCAGTAAACGCAGCTGCTGCACCGCTAAATTTGTGGTTCATACTTAGACAGCGCTTTTGCTTGCAGGAGTGATGTCCTATCAAATTCCACAACCTATAAGCTATAACGCAGCTTTCCCATATGCTACTCCACAACTCTACTTCCACCTGTGTGCAATCGTGGATGACTTGTTACAAATCATGACACTAGCAGTATTTGAGTGAAGCGCAATCCAACACATATTTTTATCCTTTCAATTACCTTTTTATCTCACATACATCACATCATAAAAAATACCACAATAAAAATATCTCTAATAATTCACCATCCAAACAAACCTAGTACTGTTTATGTATCCCGATGAGCGAAGCGCTATGGTACGTAATAAAATGTTCCATTTTCGGGTCTCCATTTTGGGTTCCAAACGTCTCCAACTCAGAAAACAAACTATAGGTTTGTTTGGATAGTGTATTATTTGAAATATTATTTGGAATAATTACTGTAGCACTTTTTGTGATGTGATGTATGTGAGATAAAAAGTTAATTGGGAATATAAAAAGGTAGGTTGGGAAATGTGTTTGCCTTCCCTACTTTTAACTTTTTATCACATTGTCAACCTATTTTAAAATAATTTAAAAACTCATTTTTAGATAGCCAAGATGTTTTCATTTCACAAGTGCCCTTTGCTGTTTTAATCTTCTTTTTTTTTATCAAAATTAAAAGCATGTAATAAGATATTGAAAATAAAGACAAACTATACAAATGTGTAATTTTAGTGGACACAATATAACAATAGGTATTTTAGCATTAAAAAAAAAGTTTTAAGAATGTATTCAAAGTCTTTTCAGCCCAAAAGAAAAGATCATTTCTTTATTGTGAAATGTTTTCGATCAATTTCATGAGTTTTTTAAAATTTGTAGAATTTTTTAAAAATTGCAAAATTTTGTGTTTAAATTGATGGCTTGAAAACTAGGAGAAAAAAGGACAAAAGGCAAAAGGTTTATGTTTACAAACTCATTTGAGATTTTGTTAAAGACAAAAATTATTTTTTTTATTCAAAAATTGCTTGTGGATGAATTTAGGGATTTAGGTGTTGTCTAAATCTATGGCTTGAAAACTTGAAACATATGTACTCTCTTAACTATATATTTAGAAACTTATTTGAGGTGTTTTTAGCACACAAAATTTTATTTTCTTCATTGTAAAATTCTCGGATAATTTTTATGGTTTTCTAATTATTTAGAATATCAAATTTTTATTATATTTCTTGTATAGGCTAATTAAATTGGTGGGAAAATTATCAATTGGTATATCAATCTTTTTAACACCTTGTAATTC